TATGAGTGAACACAATGACTGATCGGTACCATTCACTCATTATGCTCATTCAGGAAAGAAAGGGGCTGGTACATATGACATATTTACAAGACCCTTCCCCACCCTCCATCCTGAAGGATCCTATTGTTTGCTTGAAACTGCCTTTGGAAAGGAGAGGAAGGAAGCCGGCAACACTGCGGGGGGCTTACAGGGGGGCTTGGGCAACAAGGGGAAATGTATGGTGCCCAGGGGGGGTGACCGGTGTGGTAGAGGGGACAATTACTAGAACTGATCCCCTATAATGCTCTCTCTGCAGCAGCTGAAAAACGGCAGGATGGAAAGAAGCCATCTTTCAGCTACTGCAGAAAGAGCCATAGGTTCTAGTAAAGGCCCCTCCCCGCTGTGCTAATGACCCTCCCTGCCCACATCCAATTCACCCAGCTGCCTGGGCCCTCCTGCTGGCCTAGGCCCCGTACAGGAGGACCAGTGGTAGCCCTTTATCCACAGCCCTACCTGTAAGTCACTTCCACCCTCTACAAAACTCTGTCCCTCTCCAGAAATCTGTACAAGGAAAAGAAGAAGACAGAAAGCATGTGAGAAGATAGAAAAAGCATGGGGATGAGCAGGAAAGGAAGGAAAAATAAGACACCAGAGCTCTCTACATGTTTACCTCAGAAATGAACCTTCTAAAGAATTATATTGCTTTCAGGGTGAGTGAAAGGTGAGTGTATTGAATCCATGGAGTCCACAAGGCAAGGAATTTCTTTTGGGTATACAAGAGGATACTGGAGAGTTGTTTGCTAATAAAAAATGTCTCTACACTTTGGACTTCCTCGATTTGTGGTAATTGCTTCTGCCAAGCCCTTGCAAATGTTTGTTAGGTGGATAATAAAATGTAAACGGCTAATTTAATTTGGGTTTAGTGAGAAAGGGAGGTTTAAGATGGAGGAGTGCAAGCCAGGGGTATCTTGGGAAGGAACACATAATTAAGCTTGTAGGAGCTTAAAGGCTAAGCTCACTTTTTTTTCTAAATTTAAGCTCGCCTATGTACCAAAATATTATTAATATACTTCTGTTGCAGAAAAGATAAAGCTTTCTAAGTATTTTAGGACAGCCTTACCTCAGCTTCCAGCTTTCTCCATAGAAAAGGTCATGACTTCCTGGTATGCAGATTTAAGACATGAAAACAGTTAAGACACAGGACGTAATTAACCAGCTGACCTCATTAGCACACACCCCCTGCACTTGCCCTCCTCCTCTCTCTCCATCCACCCACCCACCATGTTTTATGGAGCTTGTGGTCATTATGGACCAAATTTGTTTCCAGTTCTCCTCCTGCCTGCAAGCTTGTTGGCAGCATGTATAAACTGACAAATTAAGAGAGTGCTATCTCTTCCTCTCCTGTAAGTCAGTTATTTCCATCACAACAGCTCCAGAAAGTATCTGTTTTTGCATAGAACTATTCTTATACAATAATTAACCTCCCTGGCGGTATTCCCGAGTGTAGCTCGGGGTTAACTTTCAGTGCCAGAAGCGGTAACCCCAAGCTACACTCGGGATTACCCTGCAGCGTTGCTCAGGGATACCCTCGTGCACTTACCTTGTCCTTCACTCCTGCGATGTCCCCCCTGCAGCGTCCCCGGCCATCTCCTCCAGCCGATGCCGGCATCTGTCTTCCGGGTTCCGTTCCCTGCGAGCGTCGGTACGTGGGGGACGTAACCGACGGGAAATTCAAAAATGTTAAAAGTGACATTCACTAAATACACTAAAATCGCATAGTATAACATTACTGTATCAAACCATTTCACATACATTTTGTCCCTAGTGCTTTGTCCTGTGCCCTGCCTGCATTTTTACTGTTCTTTCTGCCTGGAAGCTGAGAAACGTCCACGGTGTCCAAAAAGCATCCCTTTAGGTCAAAAGCAGTTTTAGACCAGCTAGAGAACAGTGATAGTATATTAGAACCACTTGCAGAATTGAGTGATAATGATTAGTGGGGAAATTCGTCATCAGACACTGAAAACGATTTTGCGACAAAGCTCAGTGATGTGCAAACTTGCGCTCTATTTCAAATTTCAGTGTTTTGATTACATTCTTGAATTAAATGTATTATTATTATTAGAGATGAGCGAATCGAAGTAGCCGAAGTGGAATTCGAGTCGAATATCGGAAAAATTTCGATTCGCGCCGAATCCGAAAAATAGCCTACTTTGGACGCGCGAATCGAAATTTTTCCGAAAATGGCGGCGGACATGTGCGGCGACGGAGCGGGGATGTCTGGGAAGGCGCGCAGACAAGGCGCGCTGACCCATAATGCATTCCTCAATGACATGTGATCGCATCAGCCAATCAGCAGCCAGCCAGCCAGCACTGTGTAATGGTCGAGCTGTAAATAGCGCCATTTTGGAATTCTTCATTTGCCTGCAGTCATTGAACAGAGGCAGACCGCTCTGTATTAGGGACAGAGTTAGGGCCACAGAAACGATACTTGGGGACAGAGAAACGTTACTTAGGGACAGAGAACCATTACTCAGGGACACAGAATTGTTAGTGAGGGCCACAGAATCGTTACTTAGGGACAAAGAAACGCTAGTTAGGGCCACAGAATTCTTACTCAGGGACAGACAGAATTGTTACTGAGTGCCAGAGAATTGTTACTTAGGGCCACAGAAACGTTATTTAGGGCCACAGAATTGTTACTCAGGGACAGACAGAATTGTTACTGAGTGCCAGAGAATTGTTACTTAGGGCCACAGAAACTTTTAGTTAGGGCCTGACAGAATTGTTACTTAGGGCTTGTTACAGGGACAGACACAGAAATGGAATTGTTACTGAGGGCCACAGAACTGTTACTTAGGGCCACAGAATTGTTACTCGCACAGACACAGAATTGTTACTCAGGGACACAGAACTGTTACTGAGGGCCACAGAACTGTTACTTAGGGCCACAGAATTGTTACTCACACAGACACAGAATTGTTACTCAGGGACAGAACTGACTTAGGGACACAGAACTGTTGTTACTGAGAGCCACAGAATTGTTACTTACAGGGCACAGAATTGTTACTCAGGGACACAGAATTGTTACTGAGGGCCACAGAACTGTTACTTAGGGCCACAGAATTGTTACTCGCACAGACACAGAATTGTTACTCAGGGACACAGAACTGTTACTGAGGGCCACAGAACTGTTACTTAGGGCCACAGAATTGTTACTCGCACAGACACAGAATTGTTACACAGGGACACAGAATTGTTACTGAGGGCCACAGAACCGTTACTTAGGGCCACAGAATTGTTACTGAGGGCCACAGAACTGTTACTTAGGGCCACAGAATTGTTACTCGCACAGACACAGAATTGTTACTCAGGGACACAGAACTGTTACTGAGGGCCCACACAGAACTGTTACTTAGGGCCACAGAATTGTTACTGAGGGCACAGACACAGAATTGTTACTCAGGGACACAGAATTGTTACTGAGGGCCACAGAACGTTACTTAGGGCCACAGAATTGTTACTGAGGGCCACAGAACTGTTACTTAGGGCCACAGAATTGTTACTGAGGGCTCGCACAGACACAGAATTGTTACTCAGGGACACAGAACTTGTTACTGAGGGCCACAGAACCGTTACTTAGGGCCACAGAATTGTTACTCGCACAGACACAGAATTGTTACACAGGGACACAGAATTGTTACTGAGGGCACAGAACCGTTACTTAGGGCCACAGAATTGTTACTCAGGGACACAGAATTGTTACTGAGGGCCACAGAACTGTTACTTAGGGCCACAGAATTGTTACTCGCACAGACACAGAATTGTTACACAGGGACACAGAATTGTTACTGAGGGCCACAGAACCGTTACTTAGGGCCACAGAATTGTTACTCAGGGACACAGAATTGTTACTGAGGGCCACAGAACCGTTACTTAGGGCCACAGAATTGTTACTCGCACAGACACAGAATTGTTACACAGGGACACAGAATTGTTACTGAGGGGCACAGAACCGTTACTTAGGGCCACAGAATTGTTACTCAGGGACACAGAATTGTTACTGAGGGCCACAGAACTGTTACTTAGGGCCACAGAATTGTTACTCGCACAGACACAGAATTGTTACACAGGGACACAGAATTGTTACTGAGGGCCACAGAACCGTTACTTAGGGCCACAGAATTGTTACTCAGGGACACAGAATTGTTACTGAGGGCCACAGAACTGTTACTTAGGGCCACAGAATTGTTACTCGCACAGACACAGAATTGTTACACAGGGACACAGAATTGTTACTGAGGGCCACAGAACCGTTACTTAGGGCCACAGAATTGTTACTGAGGGCCACAGAACTGTTTACTTAGGGCCACAGAAATTGTTACTCGCACAGACACAGAATTGTTACCAGGGACACAGAACTGTTACTGAGGGCCACAGAACCGTTACTTAGGGCCACAGAATTGTTACTCAGGGACACAGAATCGTTTAATTAAAGAGTATGTCAGACAACATGCAGAGGAGAGGCAGAGGAGGCAATGTTTTAGGAGCGAGCAGACACGGCAGCAGAGGAAGGGGTCGAGGCAGCACTATTCGCAGCCAGAGGCTAGTGCTCCCGGTGTCATCCAGTACAGTGAGGAAGAGCTAACAGAGGGCGGTCAGGAACGGGGGGAGACATCCGCCTCTTCAGCAGCCAGGCGAAGAAGTAGTGGCGAGGAAGAGTGGCTCGGTAGCCGGTGTAGAGACAGGTCTGTCTCCTGACCCACACGCAGCCGAGGGGGCTAGTAGTGAGGCGGAGACCCTAATTGATGATGATGAGGCTGATCGCACTTGGCAGCCTCGTCGTCATCAAGCTATTGCTTCCGCATCATCAGGAGAAGAGGGTGGCAGCTTGGCAGCGAGCAAAAACAGTCGGTGGGTTGTCTCCATCGCCACACTCTGCCATGTGCCACTTTCAGGTCTCCTCACACACTGCTGGTGTGTTGAATTTTTTGACATAGGGTGCTGGCAGATTACGGGCCTCCCATAGCTGCTGCCAGGCCCCTAATCTGCCATGGGCCCCTATACCGCCTCCTCATGCTGCTGCCAGGTCCACAGTCTCTCATGCCATGTGCCACTTTCAGGTCTCCTCACACTGCTGGTGTGTTGAATTTTTTGACATAGGGTGCTGGCAGATTACGGGCCTCCCATAGCTGCTGCCAGGCCCCTAATCTGCCATGGGCCCCTATATACCGCCTCCTCATGCTGCTGCCAAGTCCAGAGTCTCTCATGGGTCCCTGTATGGCCTCCCATTGCTGCTGTCTCCATCGCCACACTCTGCCATGTGCCACTTTCAGGTCTCCTCACACACTGCTGGTGTGTTGAATTTTTTGACATAGGGTGCTGGCAGATTACGGGCCTCCCATAGCTGCTGCCAGGCCCCTAATCTGCCATGGGCCCCTATACCGCCTCCTCATGCTGCTGCCAGGTCCACAGTCTCTCATGCCATGTGCCACTTTCAGGTCTCCTCACACTGCTGGTGTGTTGAATTTTTTGACATAGGGTGCTGGCAGATTACGGGCCTCCCATAGCTGCTGCCAGGCCCCTAATCTGCCATGGGCCCCTATATACCGCCTCCTCATGCTGCTGCCAGGTCCAGAGTCTCTCATGGGTCCCTGTACGGCCTCCCATTGCTGCTGTCTCCATCGCCACACTCTGCCATGTGCCACTTTCAGGTCTCCTCACACACTGCTGGTGTGTAAAATTTTTTGACATAGGGTGCTGCTGGCAGATTACGGGCCTCCTATAGCTGCTGCCAGGCCCCTAATCTGCCATGGGCCCCTATATACCGCCTCCTCATGCTGCTGCCAGGTCCAGAGTCTGTCATGGGTCCCTGTACGGCCTCCCATTGCTGCTGTCTCCATCGCCACACTCTGCCATGTGCCACTTTCAGGTCTCCTCACACACTGCTGGTGTGTAGAATTTTTTGACATAGGGTGCTGGCAGATTACGGGCCTCCTATAGCTGCTGCCAGGCCCCTAATCTGCCATGGGCCCCTATATACCGCCTCCTCATGCTGCTGCCAGGTCCAGAGTCTCTCATGGGTCCCTGTACGGCCTCCCATTGCTGCTGTCTCCATCGCCACACTCTGCCATGTGCCACTTTCAGGTCTCCTCACACACTGCTGGTGTGTAGAATTTTTTGACATAGGGTGCTGGCAGATTACGGGCCTCCTATAGCTGCTGCCAGGCCCCTAATCTGCCATGGGCTCCTATATACCGCCTCCTCATGCTGCTGCCAGGTCCAGAGTCTCTCATGGGTCCCTGCACGGCCTCTCATTGCTGCTGTCTCCATCGCCACACTCTGCCATGTGCCACTTTCAGGTCTCCTCACACACTGCTGGTGTGTAGAATTTTTTGACATAGGGTGCTGGCAGATTACGGGCCTCCTATAGCTGCTGCCAGGCCCCTAATCTGCCATGGGCCCCTATATACCGCCTCCTCATGCTGCTGCCAGGTCCAGAGTCTCTCATGGGTCCCTGTACGGCCTCCCATTGCTGCTGTCTCCATCGCCACACTCTGCCATGTGCCACTTTCAGGTCTCCTCACACACTGCTGGTGTGTAGAATTTTTTGACATAGGGTGCTGGCAGATTACGGGCCTCCTATAGCTGCTGCCAGGCCCCTAATCTGCCATGGGCCCCTATATACCGCCTCCTCATGCTGCTGCCAGGTCCAGAGTCTCTCATGGGTCCCTGTACGGCCTCCCATTGCTGCTGTCTCCATCGCCACACTCTGCCATGTGCCACTTTCAGGTCTCCTCACACACTGCTGGTGTGTAGAATTTTTTGACATAGGGTGCTGGCAGATTACGGGCCTCCTATAGCTGCTGCCAGGCCCCTAATCTGCCATGGGCCCCTATATACCGCCTCCTCATGCTGCTGCCAAGTCCAGAGTCTGTCATGGGTCCCTGTACGGCCTCCCATTGCTGCTGTCTCCATCGCCACACTCTGCCATGTGCCACTTTCAGGTCTCCTCACACACTGCTGGTGTGTTGAATTTTTTGACATAGGGTGCTGGCAGATTACGGGCCTCCTATAGCTGCTGCCAGGCCCCTAATCTGCCATAGGCCTCTATATACCGCCTCCTCATGCTGCTGCCAAGTCCAGAGTCTGTCATGGGTCCCTGTACGGCCTCCCATTGCTGCTGTCTCCATCGCCACACTCTGCCATGTGCCACTTTCAGGTCTCCTCACACTGCTGGTGTGTGTTGAATTTTTTGACATAGGGTGCTGGCAGATTACGGGCCTCCTATAGCTGCTGCCAGGCCCCTAATCTGCCATGGGCCCCTATACCGCCTCCTCATGCTGCTGCCAGGTCCACAGTCTCTCATGCCATGTGCCACTTTCAGGTCTCCTCACACTGCTGGTGTGTTGAATTTTTTGACATAGGGTGCTGGCAGATTACGGGCCTCCCATAGCTGCTGCCAGGCCCCTAATCTGCCATGGGCCCCTATATACCGCCTCCTCATGCTGCTGCCAGGTCCAGAGTCTCTCATGGGTCCCTGTACGGCCTCCCATTGCTGCTGTCTCCATCGCCACACTCTGCCATGTGCCACTTTCAGGTCTCCTCACACACTGCTGGTGTGTAGAATTTTTTGACATAGGGTGCTGGCAGATTACGGGCCTCCTATAGCTGCTGCCAGGCCCCTAATCTGCCATGGGCCCCTATATATACCGCCTCCTCATGCTGCTGCCAGGTCCAGAGTCTCTCATGGGTCCCTGTACGGCCTCCCATTGCTGCTGTCTCCATCGCCACACTCTGCCATGTGCCACTTTCAGGTCTCCTCACACACTGCTGGTGTGTAGAATTTTTTGACATAGGGTGCTGGCAGATTACGGGCCTCCTATAGCTGCTGCCAGGCCCCTAATCTGCCATGGGCCCCTATATACCGCCTCCTCATGCTGCTGCCAAGTCCAGAGTCTGTCATGGGTCCCTGTACGGCCTCCCATTGCTGCTGTCTCCATCGCCACACTCTGCCATGTGCCACTTTCAGGTCTCCTCACACACTGCTGGTGTGTTGAATTTTTTGACATAGGGTGCTGGCAGATTATGGGCCTCCTATAGCTGCTGCCAGGCCCCTAATCTGCCATAGGCCTCTATATACCGCCTCCTCATGCTGCTGCCAAGTCCAGAGTCTGTCATGGGTCCCTGTACGGCCTCCCATTGCTGCTGTCTCCATCGCCACACTCTGCCATGTGCCACTTTCAGGTCTCCTCACACTGCTGCTGGTGTGTTGAATTTTTTGACATAGGGTGCTGGCAGATTACGGGCCTCCTATAGCTGCTGCCAGGCCCCTAATCTGCCATGGGCCCCTATATACCGCCTCCTCATGCTGCTGCCAAGTCCAGAGTCTGTCATGGGTCCCTGTACGGCCTCCCATTGCTGCTGTCTCCATCGCCACACTCTGCCATGTGCCACTTTCAAGTCTCCTCACACTGCTGGTGTGTTGAATTTTTTGACATAGGGTGCTGGCAGATTACGGGCCTCCCATAGCTGCTGCCAGGCCCCTAATCTGCCATGGGCCCCTATACCGACTCCTCATGCTGTGACGTTGCAACAAGGTGGAATTCAACCCTACATATGTTAGACCGCCTTTACGAACAGCAAAAGGCCATCACAGATTTCCTGATGTTAAAAGCGGATAAAGGTACTCCCTGTGTAACTTAGATGTCAGCCATTGGCAGCTCATGCGTGACACCTGCGCTTGCTCAGGCCCTTTGAGGAGGCCACGCTATTCTTGAGTCGGCAGGGACTATGGGATGAACGACGTCATTCCTCTGTTGCACGTCCTGGAACAAATGCTGTTAACAATGGCTGGTCAGGGTGCGGTAGACGTGGCGCACAGATCTCAACGCCACATGACCCCTGTGGGGGCAGGACAGGAAGAAGAGGAGGAGGTAGAGGAGGACATTGGTGCTCAGGAATTATTGAGTGAAATGGGTGGTTTTTCCACTCAGCGGACAGGAGTGGAGGAGCAGGAGCATCTGGTAGAGGAGGAGGAAGAGGAGACAGAGGACCCAGACGCACCGTGGCAGTATGCTGTGGAGATGGAGGCAGGGAGTCCCTCGCATTCCTTGGCACAAATGGCCCATAGCATGCTCGCTTGCTTGCGTAGCGACAGCCGAATAATAACCATCAGACAGAGGGATGACTTTTGGCTGTCCACCTTGTTGGACCCTCGCTACCGTTCAAAAATGGTGGCCTTTTTCACACCTGCTGAGAGGGAGGCCAAAATAACGTACTATAAAAACCACCTATGTAGTCAGCTGGTCTCTGCCTGTCTGCGCCAACGTCCATCCTCAGACACTGTGGGCCCTGTGCGCTCGCGTTCCGCTGCCATGGCAGCAGGGGAGGGGTGGGGTGGTAGGAGCAGTGGCAGCTCCACCAGCAGCGGCTGCCTCAGTCTGCAGTCGATGATGAGTAGCTTTCTTCACCAGCGCAGTGAGGAAACTACTAACCAGCCGCAGCAGCAGCAGCAGCAGCATCAGGTGGACCTGGAGCAGGACCTCAAACAACAGGCTTAGGCCTACTTGGACAGCACCCTGCCAACCGAGGTAGACAATCCCCTTGACTACTGGGCAACGAAACTTGACCTTTGGCCCCAACTAGCTGAATTTGCCCTTGAAAGGCTGTCATGCCCGGCCAGTAGCGTGGCATCGGAGCGCGTGTTTAGTGCGGCAGGAGGTATTGCAACTCCGCGGAGGACACGACTGTCCACCCAAAGTGTGGAGAGACTCACGTTTGTGAAAATGAATCAGGCGTGGATTAGTCTGGATTTCAAACCACCAGTTCCTGACACAACTGACTAAATCCGCCATGAATCATGCCCCAAACATGTGCCACTTTCAGGTCTCCTCACACTGCTGGTGTGTTCCATTTTTTGTCATAGGGTGCTGGCAGATTACGGGCCTCCCATAGCTGCTGCCAGGCCCCTAATCTGCCATGGGCCCCTATATACCGCCTCCTCATGCTGCTGCCAAGTCCAGAGTCTCTCATGGGTCCCTGTACGGCCTCCCATTGCTGCTGTCTCCATCGCCACACTCTGCCATGTGCCACTTTCAGGTCTCCTCACACTGCTGGTGTGTTCCATTTTTTGTCATAGGGTGCTGGCAGATTACGGGCCTCCCATAGCTGCTGCCAGGCCCCTAATCTGCCATGGGCCCCTATACCGCCTCCTCATGCTGCTGCCAGGTTCAGAGTGTGTCATGGGTCCCTGTACGGCCTCCCATTGCTGCTGTCTCCATCGCCACACTCTGCCATGTGCCACTTTCAGGTCTCCTCACACTGCTGGTGGGTTCCATTTTTTGTCATAGGGTGCTGGCAGATTACGGGCCTCCCATAGCTGCTGCCAGGCCCCTAATCTGCCATGGGCCCCCGTACCGACTCCTCATGCTGCTGCCAGGCCCGTAATCTGACATGGGCCCCTGTTGTCGCTTGTTGGCATATTCCGCTCGTTCAGATGCTCCTTCTCCTGCTACTCCTCTTCACGGATTCCGTCAGCAGTCTTTCTTGGAATCCGTTTCCAAGAGACAACAGTTTGCGAGCACGCACCCGACGGTGCAGAAGCTGAACGTCCTCCTGTCCAAGTTGCTGCTGCCAGGCTCGTAATCTGTCATGCGCCCCTGTACCGCCTCCTCATGCTGCTGCCAGGTCCAGAGTGTGTGTCATGGGCAACCGTACCGACTCCTCATGCTGCTGCCAGGCCCGTAATCT